CCCTCACCCATTAATAGTTAGGTTACTTATGCGCATAACGTATTAATTCACGTCTGTCAGTAAGTCAGGACTTGTTGGTGAAGGAAGGTTTCACTTTTATTTCACATCCCAAAGGACAGAACACAGACAAATATTACAGCTTATTTCAGAATGTCAGGAATATAACCTGTGAAAGGCACATATCCAGCATTTCAGTCAGTTGAAATGTTTCAAAAAAATGATTCTGATATTTTGTATATAATAAGTAAATATTTCTCTCTAGAAAAATATAGTGTAAGTCACTTTCTAATAGTCAATAAAATACACTTTTATTTGGACTGTATTTCAAGAGAACTTCAAACATGATTATATACATTGAACAATAAAGTAAAGAGATATCATTAGAAAATCTATATTAAACATTTTAAAATATTACAAAAATATTAAATATCCATTGGTAAAAGTTATTTCATAATTGCATTATTATCAACATAATCAAAAGGTTTGTCAAAAATACTTAAAAAAAATAGACAATACAAGATTGAATGCTGAAATATTGGAAAAATTGTGTTACGAATAAATTTTTTTTTGTTATACACATTTGTACTTATGTTGAGTGAGCTAACGAATTATAAAACCGATTCTTTTATTTACTGTTCATGGAACTTGCTCATATGATTAAATCAAAATCATTTATATCATGATTATTAGGTGGAAACATCAGTAACTTTCAGTGAAAATATAATCCCTGGTTATCATTGGTTTGGTATAATTTGAAACATTGTTCATTTGATAATAGAATCTTGCAGTTCATCATATTATTGTTAGTTAAACAATTTTGAAACATTTTTTTTTTTAATTTGAATATTTATACTTGTTTTTAATTAAACCCTTGTACATATATCATTAGATCTGGAAAGGTTTTTGGTGACGAGTACCAGTACTAGATATAACCAGTGTATGATTACTAAACTAAAAATAAAACATGTCATGCCATGTATGCATGAGTTATTGGACTCGTATGAACAAAGATGGCAACTTTGACTGGGATGTTACCAAGCTTCAACTGGATAATTTCTTTGGTGATTGGAAGGTATCAAAAGAGACACTGGTGGTAATTAATGCAAGTCGCGTCAGGGTCAAAACTCGTACTTGTGATTTCATGAAAAGAACACATTGAATTGAGGGAAAATCAATGTTTATCACAAACATGGTGTGACGATCACAGTCCTTTAATTTACTGTCATTGAAATGTTCCACATCATGAATTTTGTGAACAATTCGTTATACACATATACATTGCACACGTTGTCCCATATTAGACATATGATGCAATATCCCCACTCTTTGGGTGAAACACATTGTAGCCTGAGTTCAATTAGAAAGGTGCATTTTGACACCAAAAAAAACAGCGCCATAAAAAGGAGAAATAATATGACTATAGATAAATGTACATATAAACAATTTCTATTCAATTACAATAAAACTAATTTAATAATAAAAAAAATACAAGGTAAAAAGAATTCTTGATTCTAAAAAGATGATATCCTTCGACAGGAAGTTAGTGAAGTATGGCTTGAGTGGATGGCGAGTTTAATTCTTCTCTAAAACTGTTAGATTAACTACGTTTGGCACCTTGACAATGATTCGGGCAGCTTCTGTGTGGTCCATGTGTAAAACATTGACACTATTCACTGTTGCAATGTACTGACCAACCTAGAAATCAAATTACAAAAAGTATTAAATTACAAATGTCCCCCCCTAAACACACAGCCTATGAATAGAAATGCATTACCCCAGCTTCTTCCATCCGTTTCTCAGCTTCGCTATCGAAAGTACTGTAAAATCTGTATTTAAAGCCGCAGCTTCTAATAAAATAGAACAATACAACAAAGAAGATGCGGCTTCTATTAGAGCATCTACACATATGAGAAATGGCGTCTCAATTGTTCAAAAAGAATGGGTGCGGCTTCTATTAAGGATGCAGCTTCTAATACAGATTTTGCAGTACTAGTAAATTCAAGTACATTTGCAATATGATTCCTGTTCCACCCATGATAAAATTGCGTAGCTCGAATTTTAGTCTTTGAAAAACACCCAATCATGTAAGACATGATGCCAGTATCAAAAGTCACTTAATAATTAATAATTAATAAATTACATGTGTTACATTCCATCACCACAGAATGTAACCCTTCCGCAGTGTTGATATTTTTGTTTTGTTAAATAGATAAAACACCTTTAAAAAGTCTTTTCATTGAGTAAAATATCATTCACCGACACCTTTATTGGTTTCTCATCAGAAGACGGATGGATGGATGGATATGGCGTATGGTACTTTGTCGTATCAAAGAAAAGTAGTAAAATGTTTGTGACGTGTTCGCAACAGAAATGTACACTTCGAAATAGTGACACTTGACAAATTTACATCTTTGTTGGAACAAACCATTGTCGTATATGTGCAATATGTGTGTATTCGGTCAACCCCTAATATTCTGCATAAATGTATTCAATTATGCC